TGTTTAGCTTCTATGTTTGTTACATCGTTGCTTGCAGGTCAGAGGCCTGCAGGGGCAGGCGGGGAACGTTGGAGTCCTCCGTCACTGAAGCAAGCAAGCCTGTTAGTTTCAAGCTGCCTGGCTGCCGGATGCCATCTTGGCTGGCAGTTAATTTGCATATCGCCCTGATTAACCAATGGGAAGGGTAGCGGTCATACGCCAATTACCATGTTTCTCTTTTATTAGGATTGTATTATTTGCTACATAAACAACTGTAAACCTACTTTTGCCTCACCCTGTATGGCATGATACCCAGAAACATTATTCCAAATTTAAAATAGGTGGGAAAAAACTTCAAATGAAATTGTTTAAGAGATTTTAGAGAGTCCCACATACATACATACATACATACATACATAAAGGCTATTTTAGAAAAATGCAGTGTAAAAAACTACACCAGACTAAGATTTCTATACCTTATTTCTCCTTTATGTCAAATTATGCTGTTAAGTGAGATAGACAAATCATTTTTAAAATCACAAAATGTATTCATCTACTCAATATGTTTAAATCTCAATGACTACCACAGTGTTCAGGTGGGAAATGAGGTAGGAACAAGCAAGAATATACCAAAAATCTACATAAATCAATAACAAGCAAAAACATGTTCCAAATGCCCTGAGAGCCCATAGTCAGCAATCTAGACTTACCTTTTCCAGTTCTATAAGAAAGCTGTCCAGAGACTCATCTGAGAGTTTGCCAACTTCGAACATGGTGACTGCATGGCTTTTCAAGTTCTGCAATAAAGCAAAAACAAAAACACTAAAATGTATTTCACTGCCTTATACAAGTCACTCAAGTTCTAGTTTTCCCATTTTATGCTGCGCATAGCATCTAATATTTATACTAGAGGCCCGATGCATGAAAATTCATGCACTGGGGGGGGGGGGGGGTCCCTCAGCCCGGCCTGCCCCCTCTCACAGTTTGGGAGCCCTCAGGGGCAGGAGGCAACCCAGCAATCAGGGGAAGGCAACGCCCCCATCACATCTCTGCTGCTGCCACTGCCGGCAGCACAAGCCTCGGCCAGCCCTGGTTACCTGCACCTCAGGCCTGCCCTGGGAGGCTGGACTCCGTCTTCGCGGCCCAGGCCGGAGCCGCCTTTGTGGTTCCAGCTCACCTTCAGTCTTCACTCCGCCGCTTGGAGCCTACATATGCAAATTAAGTACTATCTTTATTGGCGGTTAATTTGCATATCGTGCTTATTAGCCCATGGGAGGCATAGCAAAGATACGGTCAATTACTCTGTTTGTCTATTATTAGATAGGACTAGAGGCCCAATGCACGAAATTCATGCAAGAGTAGGCCTTCCTTCCCCTGGCTGCTGGCACCAACTTCCCTCTGGAACCCGGGAGCCGGTTTCCCTCTAGCCATCAGCAGGCACCCAGGTCCCGGGATTCCCTCTGGCCACTGGCAGGCATCTGGGCTTCCCTCACATCCCGGACTTCGTCCGGAAGGTTGCCCAGAAGGACATCTGGTCTAATTAGCATATTACATTTTTATTACTATAGAAGATTATGCTTTCCAATATATTTAAACTTGAGGTAAGAGTCTGATTCTTCTAATTACACACGTAACCATCACTAAAAAGTTACTAAGGAATATAAAACAAAGGCAGTTATGTTTTCAAGAATAAATCTAGTACTTATAAAAAAGACAGAGCGTTGAATTATTTTATATCTAATCTTGAAACATTTTTATATTTGAACAAGAATTTGACTTACTGGTGAAAGATTTCCCATCATCAAAAAGGCAGTGAGAGTTGAGTCAAACAGAAATGCAATACGCTTTGTATATCCTGTAGACAAACTTAAACTGCTTACACTGGCTGTGTCAGCTGGGGAAAAAATTGTAATTTAAGATTAAGTAAATGAAAAGTATACTTTGCTTATCATTTGGAATAAGAATGTATTTCATTTTGCCTTTATTTAATAATTAGAAAGTACATAATTAAGTATAAGCAATATTGTCAACCTAAGAGGTCCCGGTACTATCTCCAACATAACCAAAAAAACAAACAAAAAAACCCCCACGTATTTTAAAGGCACTCACTTTTGTAGTCAATTTCTTGAAAAGCAATAATGAACCAAGACTTGATAACTGCCAGATGAATAAGACCAACTAGCCTAACCTCTTCAGACAAGTCACTGGGGGAGAATTGGGAGACCATGCTGTGCTGCCCTGCCCCTGGACATAAAACCAGGTGCAACCTCCTCACTCATCCCCCATGCTTTGCCTCCCTTTGTGGAAGCGCGTGCGATGGCCTCCCCTCACTCACCAGCAAGTATCATCTTCTCCCTGAGGCTTCCAGAACCTCTGTAGGCAGTAAGAGGGCTCTCTTCTGCTCCCACAAGCACTACAACACTTCTCACATTGTGATTTCTGTGGTTGCACTGCCTTCTCTCTTCCTAGACTTAATTATTAGAAGGAAGGTACTACATTTTTGTCTATTTTATACCCTAAAGACCTAGATCAGTGCCCAACATATTGTTAAGTACTCAAAGATGGCATCTTGAATGAGTGAAATCTAGAACAAAACTATAAAATAGGTGTAGAGAGTCCACTCTGTGGGTGTATGTGCTGACACACACTGTATCTGTAGAGAGACTCCAAATTAAACTGAGGGACTGCTGACCTGGATCCTCCTGACTGTTTGTATCGGTGTCAGTAGCCGACGACGCTTCCTGTACAGGACTCCTGCTTTCCCCACCGTCCCAGGACAGCAGCATCCTCTGCGGATCTAACGTACTCCTATTGATGAAGAAATCATTCGCTTTTAAAAATCATAGGATGATATAAAGTAGCTAATGAAGGCAGTACTTAAATTATAAACACCTATCTAAATCCAGTCATTTCCAAGTCTGAAATTGAGATGTAGCCCCAAAATGCTGTGCCTCATAGAACAAGGGTTCTGAACCAAGACCCATGGACAGGCTTCAGGGAATTCAAGAAGCCATTAAAATTATATGTGAAATATTGTATATGCTTTTTTCCTGGGGAGATTCTTAATTTTCTTCAGATTCTAAAAACAATTCATCACACACACACAAGATTTTTTAAAAAGACTACTAATATATAGGGTTCACCTCAAATGACAGAGTGAACAGGTAAAATTTTAGTGTGTAAGACTATACGTTTTTTTCCAAATAAAAATTCTAATATCTCATACTAAATAAATGAATTACTTTAATCTGTTTATAGATGGAACATTTCTCCACGATGAATGAAGTTGATCCAAATTTATTACTTGTCCCTTCTTATGGGCAAAGCCCAATCGGCAATACATTGAAACAGCATTCTGAAAGAAATAGGAAATGAGCATTTAAAATAAACCAGATATCAGAGCCTCTGTAGACAAAATAGTATCACAGACTATACCTATAGTGATCCTCAAGCATTTTCACCCACAGGTAAAAAAAAGCAATTTTCAGTAGGCCTGTTTGTCCCCATGACTTCACATGTGTCAGAGAGGGAAGGCATCCAATTTTCTGGCCTGGCCCTCCCTAAATCTATCCCCAGTATCGGAGCTGTTGCTTTAATTATCTCATCACAAGACACCGATCAGCCTGCTTCCTGCTCAGCAAAGAGTGTGGGTGCGCCCTCCTTTTCACTCCATGGGGGCCCTTATCTTGCTCTTTTCTATCTTGTGAGCACGTCCTCTGCACACGTCCTCCGACAGCTAAAAAGAATCTCACTGCCTGTTTCTTGGTAGCTTGTCAAGATAAATATATACATATATGCCTAAGCAACCGTTACGACCGAACGACCGGTCGCTATGATGCGCACTGACCACTAGGGGAGCAGACGCTCAAAGCAGGAGCTGACCCCCTGGTGGTCAGTGTGCTCCCACAGCCAACCTCCCACAGCCAGCCAACCTCCCATGGTCCTTCCCCCGGGCCAGCCGGCCCCGATTAGCCCCAATCGCCAGCCAAGCTGAGGGACCCCACTCGTGCATGAACTCATGCACTGGGCCTCTAGTATATGATAAAATCCATTCAGTATTTACACTGTAAGTAAAAAGAGTATAAAAATTATATACCTTCACCAGGGATAAGTCTATCTCAAGGACATTTGCAAGCTGGAAAATAAAATAAAAAATTGTTTTACATTGTTAGAATTATCAGCATATTACATGGTTGCAATAGACACTTTAACTATAATCAGCAACATTTTAAATTATGAACATCTGGAAGACTGAATAAATTTTGCAATCAGAACTTTCTCCTTTCCATATCTCTAAAATGGTTAGAGTAGTATGAATTCAGGTAATGACCTTAACAATTTAAGATACCTTCCTCTTTAATTTTATCTAATTTAAAATAAGAAATTTCCATGAGCAATAGTCTACAATGAGAAATAGTCTACAATCCTTTTATTATACAGTCATGCAATACTTAAAGACAGGTACATTCTAAGAAATTCGACATTAGACATTTTCATTTTGGGGGAACATCAGAGTGTACTTACACCAACCTAGATGATATAGCCCCTACTGTGATTGTGTGTGCCGTACTTTCGCACTGCTGGCCGTGCAGTGGGTGTGTTCACACTGGCATCACCACAAACACGTGAGTAATTGAGTAACTGTAGTTCAGGCCCTACAGCTGGCTTTTCTGTTTGTAATTAAGTGCCTGGTTTAAGTTTTGAGTGCAGAGCCGTCCATTCCAAAGAAGGCTATCTGGAATAAACACATTGCCAGGCCCTGGACTAGATAAAGAGCCGCGCCACCTCCTACCTGCCCACTCCTCCAGGCTCCTGTGTTTTAGCTCTTGATTTCCATAACTGATCATTTGGGCTACTTTTTTTTTCTGCCCAACCTCCCCACCCATCCTACCAACCAACAGGTGCCTTGTACATTCCAGTGCCTAAAAGTAAGAAACTTGTTTTCTTCAAAGTCTGCTAATGGATATTGCTGAAGGGCATTCTGCAAAATTGTAACAAGAACCACAAGGGTAGGTCCAGCGGTAACACTGGTTTAGAAAGGGGAAAGACTGTGGAAAGTGCACAAGTCTAGCTGATAACATTACTATCCACAGACGGAAACCAGCACAAAAACAGTTCATTGTGCTATGTGCATGTCACTAGGCCATAGAAAATGTCTCAGCTCCATGATAATCTTATGCAGCCACTGTCATATATGTGGTCCCTCTCTCATGTTGTTACCCGGAGCAAGACTGTAAAGTCCTATAAAAAGTTATTTACCAAATTTTATATATGCAGAAAATAACTTAAGAATAGTGACTAAAGCATAGTAACAGTCCATGATCTACCCATGAACAAGTTTTTAAAACATTTTGACTGTATCATTAAATAATTTTACCTACTTTACACAAACTTATAATCTTGAGGTTAAATTCTTTCACAAGACGCTGGTACACTCACCTCTGCAACATTAGTATGCTCATCTATTGAAACAAATATCTTATAGAGCAGAGTTTCAAAATAATCACCTTGCACTCGATTCATTACAAAACCTTCAAGAGGAGGAACTAAAATAAACAAAATAGACTTCTCTCAGTTATTTCATAAAACAAGAATGTGCAATTCAAATAGCTATTCAAAAAGAGAAACTTCTCACTTAAAAGACTAAATTCAGCTTTTGATTTACTTTACCCACTCAATACCAAGACTCCTAAAGTTAAGGCCATGTACAACCCTGTCTACACACAGGACTGATGGTAGAGCATAAATCCTACAGACAGTAACTGATCCCCATGGACCTCTCAGCACTAGAGGCAGAGGAAGTGCTCGAGGACATGGGCTTGGTAGCAAGGCCAGGGAACTGGGGCTGCTTCAGAATGGGAAGGCAGCAGAGGGGACTGAGCTAAGGCAGAAAAGCAAAGGACTGGCTTACTAGGCTACCCAAAAAAACAGATGGATTGAAAGTATTGGCTCTCTGCCTTTCTCCCATCATCCCCACTCCATCCAGAGAAGAGGGAAACACATCTATGTGACTGCCACCCACTTTTACCAGCCATCACTGGTGTAATTTCCTCTTTGGGGCTCTCTATTCTGTATCCTCTCAGTGGGAAGAAAGTCAAGACCTTGCACAGCCCAATCCTGGCTCTCCACACTCACTAGTTGCCTCTCTTTGGTCCAGATGCTCTAATCCAATTTAGCAGAGCACTCTGCCCAGGCGATAACAGGCACCGTGCTTCCCTTTGCCCCGTGGGCACATTTCCCTTGAAAATTTTGTGAGAAAGCAGAAGTGCTTAGACCATAGCAAAATTAGGGTCTCTCTGTGTCCCCTGACCCTAACACCATATAAATTATTCCAAACAGAGAAAAATCAGACAAAATTCAAGGGGCCCAAATGAAGACACGTGAAGAACCACAATGTACATTTCAGGAGGGGTTGTTCACGTCAGATCTGGAACACATTATCTTCTAAGTTAGTGCTACCCATGGTTCCAGTCATCCAAGTACTTTTAAGGATCAAAGGTTTCTTTATAGAAATATTTTAGAATTCCCATAGTTGATATAATTAGTTTTTTACTACATTACCATTTGTGTAACAATTAGTAATAACAAATATTCATTGAACACTTACTTAGTGCCAGACAACTGCCAGATACTTTACATATACAATTTCACTCAATCCTTTTAACCTCATGAATTGTTCAATACTATACCCCTATTTTAGAGATGAGAAAACCACAGTACTGGGAGGTTAGAAATATACATATAGGCAAAAAGAATGAGGGCATTCTATATGATAAGATATAGAATAGTTTCCAAGATATATTGCTTTTTAAAAAAGTATGAGCTAGAATACACAATCTGTATAAAAATAAAACCACACACACAAAAAGACATATACATATATGCTATGTGCTTAGTATACTTTTGGAAGAATATACAAAAATTTAACAGTGGTTGCTAACTGGGGTGGGAAGCAGATGTTTTTATACCTTTTGTAAATTTAGAATTTTATATCATAATTATTGCCTACTCAAAAAATATTAATAAAAATAAATATTTTTTAAAAGCACCTAGGAATAGCCAAGTAAGTTATAAAGAAAAGACAGAACGAAGGCCTGGCTATAACTAATATTAAAGATTACTCTAAGTCGTCGTAATGAAAATAATATGGCCTAAGAATAAAAACAAGTAAGTGAAGAATAAAGGATATGATAATTAATCCAATATAGAGGGAAATTTAATATATGACAAATTATACTTCTATTCAGTGATAATGAGTTATTGAAAAAACATGCTAGCATTTATCCAAATGCTATGGGTTATCCAAGTGAAGAAAATTTAAGTTGGGCCCTTATTTCACATCACGTAGGAAAAAAGTCCAAGATTACAGTTTTAAAAATATATAACAAAGGTTTTTAAGAACTTTTAGGCTGTTTATATAACCTAGAAGAACTCTATCTAAGCACAATAGAAATCTAAAAGCTCTAAAAGGAAAGGGTAGACATAAAATGTACAAGTATAAAATGTGATGATGGAATAAATAGATTTTATTTAGCAACAGACCCTTTCGTAATTATTCTCGTCAAAGTATTTCTCTCCCCACATTTATTTGTTCCACCATTCACAGTACTTGTTTTTTTGTTGAAACATAGCTGGACTGCTTCCTTTGAAATCACTGTCAGGTGTCTTTTGTGCTGAATTTGATGACTTCCATGTTATCAAACTGCTTTCCTTTCATGGGTTATTCCAATTTGGGGAACAGCCAGAGGTAACATGGTGACAGCAGTTATAATACCATGGGTCTTGTCTGTACCACCAAAACTTGCCAGATACTGTGTGAGCCATGGCAAGAACATGACACTGTAATAGAGAAGCCATCCATTCAGCCCTTCTCTGATGCTCCCTTCAAAACTTAAAGATAACCTGAGCCAATATAATATTTAAACTATCAAAATGGACTGAAATGAACCAATCAAAGACCAATCTCTTTAGGTGGATCTCAGATGACTCAGTCAGTTTATCAAATGAGAGTAGGGACCAGAGTAAAGCTTTCGTACTTTCCAATGGTGACAGGAAGCCACTATCACCTGTCTTCCAGAAATTAATTCCTTGTCAAAATCTTTCAAATTTTAAAACTAGTATTTGATTTGTTATAGCACCCACTATACAAACCAGAATTAGTATTTCATTGAGTTTTTTAGCTGTCTCCCAAGCTTAAAATAGAATTCATGTCTATACAAATGCATTATTAAAGAATCATAACACATGCTAACACAAATGAAGATCAGGACACACTAGTGCATGATAACCAGGCAAGATTCAACACTGAAAGACAGAGAGGAAAAAAAAAAGATTCAACACTGATATGAGAAAGTATTTTCTTAGAAGCTCTATCACCAGTCAATTGTTAATAGTGAGGCCATTCTCTGGAATTTTTTTGACACTTTATAACTGATCACACAAATATTAAATACCTTAGAATAATAAAAGATAACACAACAAGAATGCTAGAATACATGCTTGTAACATATAACAAGTATTCCTACAAATCAGTAAGAAATCTAACCTATAGGAAAAGAGCTCCATCCTGTGTTCAAAAATGTTAACCACATCACTATTGTAGCAAAACACTGGAAATAATCTAAATAACCAGCAATATGGGAATGATTTAATGAATTGATATACCCCATAAGTGTAAAATGAAATACACAAGGGCCTCATTGATTTAACTTGGGTAAAGTAGAAAGTGAGAAGATGAAGATAAAAAATATGGTAGTGACATGAAATATAAGGCACAGATAAGTGGAAATGGAGAATACACAATTCTATGATATTACTGTATATAAAAGCTGTAATGCACCAAGCAAGGACTAAAATGTGACATAAATTTATAAAAACAATACTCTGATTTAGTATTGTGAGAAATTTATCTTAGGTTTCTATTACTTTAATATAGTATGTACACAAAATACTATAAAAATAAAAATAAGGAATACAGAGTAATGAGAAAAAAGAGTTTCTTTGCAAAATTGTAACATCAAAGATCCTAGAATGATCTGTCTAACTCAATAGAGTAATAATTCTGTGCCCAGAGCGATTAAAAAAAATGGAAAAATATTAGCATATGCTTACCTGCTATACAACTGTCATCGGATATTGGTACATCCAGATAAATAAATCCTTTGTTATATAAACCTATAGAAGCAAAAGCACCTTCTTTTAGATGGAATACTAAACATTTAAAAAAACAACTGATTCTTAATTTGCTGTAGTAAAGATTCATACAAGTGAATGCCATGTGAAAAAGTAAACTGAAGAATTATAGTTTTCAAATCTCAGCTTCCCTCATATGCTCAGAACTAAAAATTTTTCTATGATCCATTTGTATAAATTTCTAGTGGATGTGACTAATTATAGCCACAGTGGAAAACAATGGACTATGGTCGCATTTCACACAATAACATGCCTTTAGGAAATATTACTATTTTTATCTAATTAATAAGTAATTGCTATTAATTGTTGAAGCCTTAAAACACGTTTTTATGTTGACAAAAGACCATTTCTACTAACCACTTACTATGTACTACATTGTAATCTAGTGATCCAGAGAGCTGAGGGCCTGCATCGATGATCTTATCAATAGCGCATTTCTCAGGCAAAGTGCATATCTAAGAAAAGCAAAATATTTTCAATTAAGTTCTGTCCAAATTAACTAGTCCATGTCTCCTCAAATCTATTCATGTTTAAACCAATGATTAGATGCCATTTGTTGAATGAACAACACTTTTTTTTTCATTTATCACTTCAGAACTCTAACAAAAAAGGTTAGCTCATAACCATCAATTGAGGTGCCAAAAGATGCTACCAACAGAACTCAGAAAACAAAGTAACTATAAATAACAATATTTGCTGGTAAGCAATAAATGTTCACTAATAAATACCAGTATTTACTGACCTTCTTTGAATTGGAATCTGATTCATCTGTGATTCTGAACCTCTCAAAAATAAAGTTGATTCAAACTCCACATGATTATGCTGAGTAAGAAGTTCACTATCTTATGACATACAGCTCTGTTAGGAAATACTTATACTAAAACAAAATTTCTAAGCCTTCCACTCATTTGATTTATCTGTCCTCTGGGGTAAAATGAAATGCAAACAAACAAAAAATCCACGTGCTCACTTACATTTCTTCAGCCACACAGAATATGACCGACCTTGTCTCTGGGCCCTTGTCCGTCACCCCACCTCTTTCCTGTACAGCGTCTCTTCTAAAATCCACAGGCTCATATCAAATGTGGTCTGACCACTGACAGCACCACTTCCCTTCACCTTGATACTACTCCCCTATCAAAGCACCTACCACTTCACACAGTAATTAGCACAGTAATTAAGAACACAGGCTCCATAGCAAACTGGGTGAAAATCCTGGACCTTTATTACCACTATGACTTGAGCCATCTCTTCAATTCTCTGTTCACATTCCTCATGTGATACGGGGTACAAATCACACATACCTCTGGGTTGCTCTGAGCAACAAATTAGACAACATAAAAGCACTGGAATAGTGCCAGGCACATCTAAGCACAGAGCAAGTGCTCAAAAGTGTTAGCCAAAAAGACTGTCGGTAGCTGCAGCATCACATCAATTTACCTGAAACTGCTATTGAATTAAAATTCCCATATTGCACATGAACCAAGTCAAGTCTCCCTCATTATTAAAGAGTATCGTGGGAACCTACCAATATTCTAGTCTAATAAGGTCATTTAAATTTATTTTCTTCAAGAAAACAAAATAGTGTTACTTTTTAAAAATTAGAGAACTACAATGAAAAATAGTCTTAAAAATAAAAAATAACTTATAAGATTACCTTTATGTCGTCTTCTGTGATATATCCAGCCTGCACCACCCACCAAGCCTCTATAGCAATTTCTACAGGCTTTACTGGCAGAAGATCACGAGCTGTTTTCCTTCTGAAAAATTTCTGCAATAGTACAGTTTGCAATTGGTCTAAATTTACTACTTTCTTTTTCATCAATCCTATCTGAAGACTGTTTCTAACAGGATAATACCTTTTTAAATTCTCATTTCTAAGAATCTGTTATTCTAGATACACTGAATGTAGAAAATAATCTCAAATTATTTTACAATAAATTACTTGAAAAGACTAATCATTAAATCTGGATCTAAATCCAGACTAAAATGAAGCCCAGGATGTGAAAATGCATTTGAAAAAGTGTACTCACTTCACCCACTAAGTGAACCCTGGGAGTAGAATGAGCAAGAAAAAAGACCAACAGAACAAAATTAATTTTAAAAATAGCCCAGCCGTGTGGGTCAGTGGTTTAGTGTCAACCTATGAACGGGGAAGTCACAGTTTGATTCCCCTGTCAAGGCACATGTCCGGGTTGTGGGCAGGAGGCAGCTGATCAATGCTTCTCTCTCATCACTGATGTTTCTCTCTTTCTCTCTTTCTCTTTCTTTCTCTCTCTCTCTCTCTCTCTCTCTCTCTCCCCCTCCCTCCCTTCTCTCCCTCCTCCTCCCTTCCTCTCTGAAATCAATAAAAATATTTTAAAAAATTAACTATATGTTCTATGCCTTCAATTGTTTTAATTAAATAATCATTTAAGTGATAGCCTAGAGAATACTAATTTTTTGTACAGTTTCTGTATAAAGCATACTTTACTTGATCAGATAAATTACAATTCATTATTTCTAACACTTGAAAAATTAATCAGACTGTGATCAGGAGGACAAGAAATGAAAGAGCAAGGGAAATGACTAACTTACTTTTGACGATCTACACTGATTCATCAGGTCGATGTACTGGTTTCTTCCTATGCCAAGAAGCCTTAGACCTGGAAGGAAGAGTCTGTCCTGTAAAGACTTTCAATACATCATGACATGTCAGGACACTCTGTCTTTTAGGGAATAAACCCTTGGCTTTTGTTCATCTTTTGATTATTGGTTGGCAATATCAAATTAAAAGGAATTCTTCAAACAGAATATAAAAGAAAATGAAACTAAGAGAGAGGAATTCACTATTGACAATGCTAAATGAGAAAATTTTTTAAAAGCAGAAGTCCTCCCTATTTCAGGAAGTCAAAGTGTACTTCTCAGCAAAAGTTTCTTCTTATACAACAGAACTATGTCCCATTTCAAATATACACTCATTAAAATAAGCATAATAAAACACCAGCAAATTGTTAGTTATAACTGTGTATCATGCTGTAAAAATATTATATACACCTTTTTTTTCTCTTCATCTGAGACACAACACAGCCCAAGTATCAGGAAGAACTTCATTCTCTAGAAAATTATGGACTAGTTCCATTTTTTTTATTTTAACACTCCAAAATATTCTTCTGAGACATTTAGACTAAATCTTACACTTGACTTGTATCAACAATGATGCTTGCGGTTCTCATCTTTCAAGTGTTTCACACATTACAATTCTGACACAATAGCATACACACACAAGGACACACTAAACATTACTGCCTTCAGCATGATTAAATACTTACAGTCGGCAGCAGTAAAATTGGGCAGGGAATCATAACTTTTCTCACTGTTCATAATATCCTTTTCAAAGAAAAAAAAAAGAAAAAATTTTAAATGCAAAATGTCCATAGATAAAAACATGTGTCTAAACACATAGTTCTATAGCAATAAGAGGAACAATAACTATTACATGAAGCACTGAGATCAGAGTTTGGATACCTAAAGCATGTGTGCCACACAGTGGGACTTATCACCTGGCCTCCCCACCTAATACCTGAAGATCAGGCTGTCGGGTCCGGGTTCCTTCAGCTCTCTATGAATCCCACACAGTTGCCCTGTCACTTCTGCCCTGTGGAAGCTAAGCAAGGAGTACCTCTAGGAGAGCTCAGGATGCCAACCTCGCCACACTTCACACCTGATCCTAGACTCCTACCCTGAGAAAAGGCTATGCAATGTGTCACAGCTCCATCAACACACATCTAAGACATGTACTGTCAGCCAAGTGTTTGACCACACAGTCATCTCTGCTCCTAGAAGTCCCAATCAGCTGCAGAGTTAAACTGAGGATCCAGCTTCTTCCAACTCCCATCTGCTTTTTAAACCAACTGTTTACTGTGGAGATAACACCCATTTTCAACCCAAAAGCTATACCCAATGGTGTAAGAACAGAAACCAGACAGCAGCAAGCACATGGGCATAACTGAAAGCTGGTAAGTGGGACAAAACTTCCCTCTATATCTCCCCCAAACCTGTGGACAACACCAGAAATATAGTCAGAGAAACAACAACAATTCTACTCACTAATTAGCAGCCACCTCCATTATGCTACTCTGGTTCTCAGGAAAGGGATTGACAGAAACCTAGGCTGTCAGGCCTCAAGATTTACTTTGTATTTCCTTCAAAATAAGGACACAGGAGATAGGGGACTGTAGAAGTGCCCATGAGTAAGGAGCATAAGGACATAAGCAAAGGGAGCAAACCTCACTGTTACTATAGGTGCCCAACTCCTTTAGTTCTAGGCTTCTCTCTGTTTTGAAAGTGGCTAATGAACACAAAACAGTAGCACTCAAATATAATCAAACAGCAAATGAATACTAGATAAATGCTGCCAGTCTTTACAAAAAGCTCAGTGTATATAGCTGGTATTTACAGTTATTCAACAGAGGCCTAAAAACTGCCTTTGGAAAAAGGCTAACAGTTTAATTCTGCAGCTAATAATCTGAAGTTAAGAATTACAAAAAGTTTAGCAGTCTGACACATGTATTATATAACACCAGATCTATATCATGATTTATTGTTGCTATAGGTAGTAAACAGCTAAATACGTTAAGTTTCTCTGAGCTTAATGTTCAATCTGTCACCCACATTTTTAACCTTAGTCATGCATTAAATGAAATAAATGTTATACAAATTCTGCTAACAAAAATGGCTGATTAATGTTATCTATCTATCCTATCTAATAAAAGAGAAACATGGTAATTGGCGTACGACCGCTACCCTTCCCATTGGCTAATCAGCGAGATATGCAAATTAACTGTCAGCCAAGATGGCTGCCGGCAGCCAGGCAGCTTGAAACTAACATGAGGCTTGCTTGCTTCAGTGATGGAGGAAACCAATGTTCCCCGCCTGCCTTGCCTCTGAGCCAGCAGTTTGAAACATTTTAACAAATATAGAAGCTAAAAAAAAACCCCGAAACCAGCTTTCCGCAAGCTGGGATCTCAGAGACGG